ATTACTTTTATATTCCTGAAAATATCTTAAAACAGTAAGCTTTTATCTTGTTTGTTTAAAAAGAATAACTTTCGACATACCATAAAAGTTAATGTTAACTAATTTCTCTTGGTGTTATTGAATGCATTCTTGTATTCAGCATTGTTGGAGCTGCTACAGAAGTAAAAAGAAATACAATTAGTCCAAAAAACATGTAAAAAATACCCATATATATTCTAGGCTGCACAGTGAAGATAAAAAGAGTTAACTAAGATGAAAAAAGACATAGTCAAGGAGTTGCAAGCTGGTTGGAGAAACGGAAAGTACATATATAGACATTGGAATGATGCATTATATTGAATATTATAGATAAGTAAATAAATTTTACTACTTGTTCATTTATTCAACATATTAAATGCATCCTGTACTTTAGCTACTCTTTACTCAGTGTTCTGCATTATATGTTGATTCTATAAAAAGCTACTAACTTCCTTTTCATTCAAGATTTATTAAGGAGTCTGATTATTAAGAAAGGACCTGTGCATTTTAATTATACTTTGTATGCCTTCTGTTCATGGGATTCTCAGAGAACATATTTGTGAGAGGCATATAGAATTAAACTTATTTTACTTATATTCTTAGAAGTCGCAGCATCAATTAATGAAAGAAGTCAATTCTATATGGAAGATATTATGCTTTTATCCAATTAACAATTTCTAGTTTATGTATAACTTCTAAGCAATGTGGTTTTCAAATTCTATGACTGTTGTGTAAATTAAAAAAATTAATCTTTCCTTCTATACATTGAAGAATAAAAGAAACAAAACAAGGCTCAAATTTCTGAACACAGGGCTTTTGTGAGATGATCCTTTATGACTTAGAAAACCACTGATCACTTTGTCAGTCAGTGTCGCTTTTCAGTGTTGAACCATATGTGTTCTTAGAATTATAAAACATTTTTCTATTGGATAAAACTAGACAGATATGCTTTTTGTGCTTCTGATGTAAAGACAAGATTTAACTTAATTCCAATAGTAGTAGCTCTTGAAATATAGACTCCTATATTACTGAATTTAAACAGTCTCTCCATGCTTGTCATTTTACATGGATAGTATCGTAAGACAAGTAATGACAGATTAAGACCTGCCTAGCAGAGGGAAAACTAAATTACATGACTTTTATTAAGGCATAAATAAACCTATTAACCATTATCTGGAATACCAATTAGTAGAAAGAGCACTGACAATTTTATTTATCAACATTAAACACAATTATTAATTACAGACCTGATGAATCTAGCAGTGAGCAGGCCACGTTGGATATGCTGGGACCTTAAGTCCATTATATGAGAGGGATGATTACCAAAATCCTGTGGGGAAATGAGTAATTGTAGTTGTAAAATTTTAATTGCCTTGGAATAAGGCAAATTATATTTTCTTGTCTGAGAATATAAATAGTATGACATTAAGGTAACAAGCTTCAGTAGTTGTAAGTAGAAAATGAATTCGTTAGGTTTTAAAACAAAGAAAAGAGTGATGATGAATTTTTAGTGTCATAGTGTTAAGTGTGAATGACATATTGTAAATACAT